GTGCTGAGGAGAAGGATACGGTAGAATCTCAAACGGCAATTACCTGCCCTGCTGTGGTAATGATGAAGTAAAACGAACGGAACAAAAGGGATCAAAAACTTAATGTCGGTTATAGCGGCGCCCATGCACAGCTGCCTGGAAGCGTGTATATGTCATACAAAACGCGAATGTTAAACCTTCGACATTTTGTTTTCTTTCTGTGGTTTCAAAATCGTCACTCGCAAAACGTTTCAGACTAAGTAAATAAGAGGTTTTCTTTTCCGCCAGCTTGGCCATGATGGTCAATTTACCTCGTTTTTTTATACTGGCTACTGCCTGTCAGGAACATAGGTGGTTTTGATAGAACGGAGTTAGATGGACATCTCAGAATTCTTACTTATTAGTTAATACCCTGAAGGCAACACGTACGGAATACATGTAGCGATGTAAGAGTGTGGCAGATTTAGAAACAGAGACTTTTTTTATTATAGGCTCGACCACTGATTCCAATTAAGTATTCTTAATCCTAAAGTTATATTGAACGGAAATGTATTACCAGATGCACCATTCGCTGACAGTAACTCTGTCAAATGGCCACGACATTTCAAGATCTCTCCTCCAAGTCGTACTTGAGAAAACTAATATTTTTATTTTTCGGATAATATCGGTTAGAACCGGTTACCGGTAAATAATTTGCGGTTACGGTTACGGTTACGGTTTTTATAAATTTCAAAAAACGGTTTCGTTCCGGTTACGGTTACTGAAAAAATTTCGTTCCTAAACGGTTTTCGGTTTTGGTTTCGGTTACGGTTTGAGTCCCTGGTTGCGGGATGCCGGGGCTCCCCCCTTATCTCTCTCTGCGCTGTGCCCGGCCAACGGGAACACCCCACTTCCCTCTTTTCGCGCCAAGAAGGGAAAGAAGAAGGGCTTCTTCCATCCTCTCCTCACGCCAAGAGGGCAGAGAAGGGTTTTTCCATTGAGGCGTCGACAGCCCACAAGCTCGAAATTTATGCAAAGTGTCGTCCGTAAAGAACCTGAGTTTACGGGGGGGAAGGGGGGGGGGGGGGAGGGGGGGGGGGTCTGTCAGGAACAAAACACGACGCTGTTTTGAGCGGAAAAATCAGACAAGGCATGCTATTATCCGCCGTGAATGCCACCTTTAGCTTTTATTCACAAATAAATATATTCTTACGGCCTATAAAGGCGACACTGTGTTTTTGTGTTTATCCGATGCCCATAACGAAATATTCAATGGGGCATGTAGTAACAATAAAGAATTAAATAACGACTATATATAAAAAAATAAACACATTAGAATCGGGGTAGTCTTCAACTTACGCCGTCTCAGCTTGATTGAGCTTATTCCAAGTCGTCCGAATCTTGCGAAGCAGATAGGCGAACAAAGAAAACCCAAATTTTGTTTCAAATTGTATATATATATATATATATATATATATATATATATATATATTTGTTTGTAAAATAAAATGAAAATCAACATCACGTGTTCTGAGATGTTTGCTGCGGGATGACCGCATTGAAGAGCGCCCAAACTGACGGACAGTAAGCACCGGATCTAACGCGGGCCTCGTGCGCTTTCCCTTGTCCTTGTAAGGGCCATAAAAGCGAGCGCAGCAGCGCGCTTCATGGGATTGAGAATGGCTGTTTTATTACCTGCTCAGCCTCCGCCGAATGTCCACACTGCGCGCTCGGGTCCATACACAGCGCGGGCATCTCGGGGGCTTGATGTTGCAGTCGCCTAGTTATCATGGCGCTCGGGCCGCCACTTTAGCGTCATGCGCCGAAGAGGCGACCACAGCCACGATTATTTATGGCGAGCATCGCGCCACTGTGAATGCGGCAGATTCACGTACCCCTGAGGCGATGCATCTTTTACGATTCCTCGAAGAAGTGATATGAGAGCGCAGAGGTATGATGGAGTCGCGGAGTGGATCTTGTGGCGACGTGACAGGTGGGTCGTGCATCTGTCTAACCGGAAACAAAAATCACGAGAATAGTGTCTATCTACGGGCACATATGCATTAGGCAGCTTTGACCGCAGGTATTTTTACTATTGTTCTTTGTATGATAGCACTTTCTGATTCATGTTTATTTGTATTTGTATCGCTCCTGCTTCAACCTAAACGAGGCTCTCACTATTATTAAAGAAAGTAATAGTAAACAAATAAATAAATATTTAGGTTGATCGGTAACTGGCCTCATCGAAATTATTTCTGGAACGCGCAGTACGAAGTTTCTGCCCTCAGTATGCATTACTACATTATAAGTTGTGCAGTCGTCTGGCATTACCGTGTGTGTTAATGCACCTGCGGCTAATATGCACGTGGAGCGAAGGCTTGCCCTGCAGAACCCAGGAATCATGCAGGCTCAATCACCACCCCTGCCTGTTTTAATCTATGCATGAGCATCGTACCGCCGTGCAGTCGTGTATCGGTACTGCGCGATGCACGTTAAAGATTGTTGGCTAGCAGTCGTACCGCACTAGTGAGAGTTTCCACGCTGGCAGCGTGTAACAAGTTCGCCACACTCTGGTAGACCAGCCTTACGCTGTTTAAGCATTTGACTCTAATTTGAACTTCATAGTGCCGTATAGTTCATACCGAATAAAAAAACAACATAATAACATAGGAATGACTCATATGAAGAAACGGCTGAAAATTAGGTAGTTTAATCAGCATAGTTCATAATTCTAGGTGGTTCGAGATAATTTCCCTTCTCTATACACGAATTATACTGAAAAAAAAAAAGAACACAACATATTGTGGGTGTTGTACGCTACACCTGTTTGAATATTGTATATCTAATCGGACATTTATCAAATATAGATAAAAACAACCAATGCCATTTTTGTGCCATCTGACAGAGAAGATATCTAGAAAATCATGGCCAAACATAAAATTGGCCTGTGTATTCTTCATTGAGAAAAATGCATATATGTCATACGTTTCCTTCACATAGATTTATGAGATATGGATCGTATGGACGAATATAGTTTTTAATAATGCTTTTGAACGCTGCCTCCAATCCCAAAATTTTTGTACGCTAAATTTAGCGGGAGAGTGATGTCTCGTGATTTATACGCAAGTTTAATTTCCCCGCTCAGTTTAGCTGGAAAATTTCGTGTCATATGATTTGACACGTCACGGGACCAAACGAATCTAGTGTCTCCGCTGAATTCCGCGGGAAAATATACGTCATGTGATCTATACAGTTATTCATGAAGTTAATGCAAGGATGCAGGCGAGCTTAAGCACTGACATTTTTTATCCCTGGAGAGTTGGGAACAGAAGGACAGGACAACACGAATTTCCGAGCACAGCTGAGGTTTATTTCACAAAACACAACCTTATATAGCCAACCGACATAAAGAGCCCGAAGAGACAAAAGAAGACACTGATGACAATGTTGACGTCACGCATGCCTACACCAGGATGACGTACCTAAACAGAGCACACTTCACTCCCCAAAATTAAGTCTACACATATAAGTCCAACTGAGAACACAACGTGAACGACCGAATGACGGCTAAGCAACGAAAAGAAAGAACTCAACCAACGACTAACAGAACTCCGAATAAACAACCACGACACCCCCCCCCCCCCCCCCCTTTTTTTTTCGTCCCTTAAAAAAAAAATGGAGATATGTGTTGTTTTGTCTTCCTGCTTCAAACTTCCAAAAGTAAAAAAAAAGGAATGTTGACATTAACACATTGATTTTAGCAAGTGTTCGTTGCATGCGCGAAGCCGCCATAACTTTAGTTCAAAGGAGGCAGGCGGCAGGTCTCGAGGAGCCTGGTGCCGTGCACGCTAAGTGCACGGCACCAGGCGCCTCGAGAGGTTGTTCCACGTCGAAAAATACTAAAGTTCCCCAGATGCATTGCGGCAGCCGGGGCGTAACCAAACTGGCTGTGAGATCAGTCTATGTAGTTTACTGGTTAAATTTCGCAAGAATATTGATATCACGTGACCTGAGGTGACGTTGCCTATACACCACTTCACGTTCCCCGCTAAATTTAGTGGGAAATTTGACATCACCTGACCCGATCTCACCTGACCTATATATATATATATATATATATATATATATATATATATATATATATATATATATAGGTGAAGTAAGGTAAATATAAAAAAAAAAAAACAATGAACCGGGAAAAGGGAATAAGACAAAGATGCGTACTGCCGGAGTTACTAATTCGAAGTTTATTACGACGTTTCGAGCGGGGACCGCTCTGATGAAGAGCGGTCCCCGCTCGAAGTTTTATTTATAAGCCAAGTTTTATTCATACTGCTAACCTCCTTTTGAAGGTTGTGGCAGGAAGGGTTAGCACATTTTAATGCACGAGAAGTTAAACAAAAGTATAATGAAATGTAGAACAAACACTAGTAATAGAGAAATACAACAGCAAACAACAACAACAACACCAAGTCAAAGGCATAGCCAACTTTCTCCTGTCTAATGTTTCTTAGAGCAGTTTGACTGAAGGTGAATTAAGATGAAGTTGAGGAATAGGGAGCACACCGAATAAGTAATAAGAAAAAAGCTTGTATGACACCCTGGCATCAAAACATTGTTTATTGCAGACACAAAACCCATGTGAAATGAACATGAATGTTCATTTCATACGGCTATTTTCCTGTAACCGTTTGGAATGGTATGGGTTGCCATGCAATGCAATGCATCGCATAACGCACATTGTAGTGCAATGTGCATATCATATAGACTGTGTTTGCTTTTCTATTTGTCGCCTAATTATTAGTTAATATATTCCGTGCTTCGTGTATAATTCATTTTTTTGCAAATTTCATTTTAAAATTTGATGAGTGATTTTTATATAGAGCTCGTTCCTTAATTACGTTAAGGTATTTTTTTTTTATATGTTGATATCTCCGTTTTATTTATTATGCTTTTCTGATGCTGTAGCTTGGGGGCATGGGACTACCCAAGCTTCTTTACATTATAATTAGACTTATATAATTGCTATACTCCCATTGCAGGAGCGCGCCAGCCGGGCCCGGCGCCCCAGCCAGCCCGTGGTGACCCCGCAGAGACGGCGCAGCAGCGCTGGAACGTTGGCCGGGTGGGAGGGCGGGGACACCTTCCACGAGGACTGCCTGGTGTGCGACACGTGCGGCCTGCGGCTGGCGGGCTCCAGCTGGCAAGGGGCGCACCGCTTCCAGAACAAGATCTACTGTGGCCTGCACTACGCCGACGTGACCGGCCTGTCCAGCGGCGAGGAGTTCCTCGCCAAACTCCGGGAGTACAAGCGGCAGTCGCTCGGCTGCGCGGAGGCGCGCCGCAAGAGCTCCACCACCCTCACCTTCCCGGTGCCGGTGCAGGTGCGTGCCTCGTTCTCGTCTATTCTATGTGCTACACGGCCAAGGCAAGCGTCGCTTCCACAGCGCTGCAGTACAGTACAGCTGCGAGGGCGTGTGACTTTCTCTGCCGCCTCGTTCGCCACTTGAGAAACGCGGCTTCATCTTAAACGATAGTCCGCTTTTAATGGCAATTTGGTGTCTGCCTTTAGTGGGCCATTTAGACTGCTAACTTGAAGTGTTTAACGTGCGTGACAACAGTCACAACTACACAGACGTACGCCGGTATAATGATCGTTCGGATCGAAACGGGGAGGAGATTGAATTCAGGAACGATCCCTGGGTCGTGCATCCTGATGGAGTAAGCGATGTAGTTTGAGTTGTTCTTGTTTCGCCGTTTACGGAGCCAAAGTATCACTCTCATCGTTAAGAATGCAAACTCGAGAAATATGGTGCTACCGGATTTATTCGAGTAATTGCCGCATTATTTATGAAGAACACCCTTGCGTCTACTTTCCCACAGAACATATATACAGCGAATCATTGCGTTGCGCATAAATAGCATAGCGAATAACCAGATCGAGAACACGGTTCTCCATACAAATGCAATCTTCACAGATGGTATCTTCGCACGAAGACGTTATCTCTGTCCCGTAAATAGCCGAATCATGCAGTCGATCGCGGTGATTGGGAATCTGCGTGCTCCGCAGAAAAGCGAACCCTCAGGTTTTCTTCAGAGGCAGTGCGCTATTACTGGAGTAAATACGGTGTTTTCATACGCAAATCTTTCTTAAATTCTTATCTGAGGAATAACCATAATAAGTACCGGACTCTTCAGTTATCACTATGGTCGTGATTTCATTAAAGAAGATTGTTTACAGGCGTTCCAATGTAGGTTTGCAGCGAATTGCATGACAACCTTCAAACGTGCTTTTATTGGTTCACTGCATAGCCAGTTATGGGTTCAGACATCCGATTGTCAGTAAGCACGCTCCGATTCCGTCCTTTACGACGTCTTGTCACGAATGCCGTGTGAGCGCAATGGAGGGAAAGGTGAAAAGATTATGTAAAAACTAAGTAGGCATCGTTTATATATATACATATATATATATTGGCCGGGTTTGTTACGTCAAATACCGCACATATTCATTTGCTAAAATATAGAGATGAAAAATGAGATTAAATAGTCCTGAACAGGTGGGTTGAACAGATTGTCGAGCATGTCTTACAGGCCGAGCAGTACGCCAGCGCCACAGTGCATGGTATACATGCGCCAGTAAGGTATTACCAGAGCGTTCCATGTGACATATGTGTTGGGGTTTGACGTACATTTTATCGGAACATAAATTAGATTTTGCACCCGCCCTCATATTCATATTGGTTACAGAGAAACTTCATAGATAAACAACTTTGAAAATTTTGGTGTTCCATTTGCTGCCTAAAATGGAGTAGGAAATATATTGACTTGATAAAAATTTGGAAAACTTTAATATTAACTTTTTATTACGAGCTAAGTCAACTTCCTGCCAAAATAAAAGAAGGGTGTTACTTTCTATCGGAGGGACGTTTCATGACAACATGAGAAAAAAAAAAAAAACAGATTGATTGTCTCAAGAGCTGGTACTAATTTTTTATATGTACCAGACTGGTTGGTAAAAACAGAAAGTGTACACTTTTCATTTCCAATATTTTGATTGCATGCTTTTACTAAAAAAACGCATCACCTAGCGGTACCTTGCTCAAGTTCCGATTTTCGCGATTCATATTAAGTGTTGGCGATCCCTTTTAACCTTTTTAATATCTCGTCATACTTACAGTCTTCAACCTTCCATCTCTGGTCATTCTCGCTCAACCTTAGGACCGAATGAAAAAAAAAAAATATCAGTGGCTTAGCTCAGCTAAGCCAGCATATACGTAGCGTGAGCTTAGGTTTAAGTTTCACCGTATAGTCAGTCATTTGGCGAGCCTTGACGTCATCGACGGCGTCTTGTTGTTGCTGCTGCTGAGATGGTCGGGCACGTCGCTCAGCCTCCTGGCGACGCCGCTTTGCTAGACGTTCCTCCTTTTGCTCCAGTGTCTCCACAGCACGTTTAGCCTTCTTCTGTTCGTTCTTCTTACGCTCAACTGCTAATTGCCAGGCAACTACTTCGGGATCCGATGAGCTAAGCTTCTCCGCTCTTCTGCGCCGCTGAGCAGCAATGTCGCTCTCCTCCATGGCTATACTACACTGGCAAACGCCCCGCCATATGTATAACCCCCTGATAGCTCTGCGCATGCGCACAAAATGAGAGGTGCTATCAAGCGGCTCCGGTGCAGCGTCAGACTTCGCTATTGGGCAACAGAGGCGCACAGCTGGGCACGCGGCGGCGCCAGTGCGTCTGCCGCGGCTATGACGTCACTTCTTTGGAATGCGCAGACCGGCGAGGTGCTCGCGGTGGCGGCGGAGCGCGGGACGGCGGCGGCTCCGGTGCGCCAGATGTGCGCCGTGTGACGTCACTGCTCCTCGCGCATGCGCAGCCCGTCTCTCCAGGAGCTACGCGAAACTGCTCAACCTCTGCCAGTGTAGCTCACACTACAAAAAAAAAAAAAAAAACCGAAAAAATCATGGCTTTTTGGTTTATCCAGAAAATCAACTGCGGTGACAGCCGACGCGTTGCCCATCGTATTGTACACCCTGCTGAAACAGACAACACACAATCACATTGCACACTAACAATGACGTCATGTGAAGTCATGGTGTCTTGTGGCTGGTCGTGGCATCATGGCGTCACGTAACGTAATGCTGTCACGTGTCGTGTCATCACGACGTCACATCATGTGTCACCTGACGTCATAATGCCGCGTGATATCACTACATTTGGCTGGAATGTTTCCCCGTTAAATGTGTCGAAACAAAATTATGCACTAAACTTAGAGGAAAATATCCTGGACAAAATCAGCTGTAAGGTTTGTCCATCAAATTCGGTAGATTTTTCAGCTGAATTCAGCGGATAAATCGCCCATTCAAGACAGCTCTACAGAAAACGTACCCGGGTATCTTCATGCGAAATCTTACCGATAACGACTTTCGCCGGAAAAAAGAAAAGATGAGCCGAACCCGACACTGTCTTGCAGGCGTGTCCGGGCAGCCCCTGCGAGCAGTACCCGCACTTCATCAAGGCTGCCCCGGGCTACTGGATCGAGTGCGCCGGACCTCGCAAGGAGTCCGACGCGCTGCCGGAGACCGCGCAGCAGCCCGACGTGTCGCCGGGCAAGAGCAACGGCGCGGCGGCGAGCGGTGGCTGCGCCTCGGGTGGAGGCTGCAGCCTCGCCAACGTGTCCGGTGCCCTGGAGTTGGTGTCTCGAGACGAGGACACGTACGAGAAGTTCTTTTACGGTACCGAGCACTGGAACTATTTCACGAACGACGAGTCTCTGGGCCCCGTGCTCATGAGCCTCAAGCAGGAAAACATCAACAACAGGGACCAGTTCAGGTGAGGCGTGTCTCTATACATCCTGACGATCGTTCTCAGTTAACCATTTGATGTGCAGAGTTGTCGCCACAGGCGTGTAAGCCAAAACGGACACAGAAGGGGGACACGGACAAGCACTTATAGGTTTCGCGAGTGTAACGCACCGGCTATACTTCATTTCAAATCCTACCACAGCCAAGGCTACGATTTGATGAAGCAGCACCAAAGTGTACACCGTCTTATTGGCGCTTTGTCGTCTCTGCGTTTGCTGTTTGATTAGTTCTGCTGCACATGGAGTACGCCCTGTTTGGTGCCGTGCACACAACCCGAATATCATTCCTCCCAATAATCTTTTTGTAGATTGTGTGTGAGTCCATGTATGCAGGGTATGACCGCAACGTTTCTTCGATTTGTAGCTTGCGATGAAGCCTCGTTCCCTGCATGCTGGCGTTTCAACTTCTGGCAAATGGTTTCAGAAATGGCCACCAGGAGAGATCATGGATAACCAGACACACGTAGACGCTTTATCTGGCTTCAAAACAGGACTAATCGAAGAACAAATCAAGAAAAGAAACAACGCACAATTGTTCACAGGACGCAGTACACCCCGTGCCATATTGGCGTTGTGTACCACATACTACTTTCCTGCGACAGGTGCTGCATAGGGCAAACGGGGCGGTGTGTGAACTATCGAGCTAGGGAGCACGCGGCTCCTTGTTAAAGCAACATCGGCCGGACATCTCTCTGCCTACTGCAGGTCCTGCAAGTGCGCTCCTAAAAATCAACAACATCACCATTATAGGGCGACACCGGAACGCATATGCACGCGAAGTAATTGAAGCCGAGGCCATCGAAGAAAGTGGTCAAATGTGCGTGAGCACAATTTACGCAAAAGAAAGACAATACTTGGGGTTTGGCACGAGCCGCATAACATCCTAATGAGTGGAGCGCGCGGACATGGGGGATGGCTTTTATCACTAGCTGCAGTGAAAAGGAAAAAAAGGAAGACAAAGTATTAAAGAAAGCAAGTTGATTGTCAGCGGTGTGTATGTTTGTTCCTCTCTTGGTTCTTCTAATTTGTAACTCTTCAGCTGACCCTATTCTATTCAAGCAGCGTGAAAAGCGGAAGACACTGAGGCACGTAGCCAGGATCTTGTTTCAGGGGGGGGGGGGGGGGGGGGGAAGCCGCCCACCACATAATGCTGCATGAGGGCGAGGGGGGAAAGGAGGTCCCAGCAAAATGGAAGATTTCGGGGGGAGGGGGGGGGGCGGGTTCCATGCCCCCCCCCCCCCCCCCCCCCCCCCCTGGTTTCGTGCCTGGTCACTGGGCCTTTTCTGTTTATGATTGGTTTAGCGACGATAGAACATGTACAGAAACAGGGCGAACACCATGATGGTGCGTTTTCGACGCTGTCTGATTGGTACCATCAGCTCGTAGCGTCGGCTGCGTCTGGACTTAAAGGCCGACGACCAGATGCGAGATTCTGCAAGGCAGAAGATCTTCTTCACCGTGGGGGAGGAGGAAACGGGCAACGGTGGACAGGGTAAAAGGAGGGAGAAAAGGAAGCGGGGGAAAAGTGGAAAGCGCGTACTGGTCGTCGGTCTTTAAGGTGAAACGAAGTATAGGCTTAAAGTCTAGCGCAATTAAACAAAAAAAGACAACAAAAATATATAAATGAGTCAGTAGGTTAAAATTTTTCTCCAGTCATGCTGAAAACACGGATAAATCCCGGGCTTCGAAAAGCCTATTTCTTCAAATCGCATCACAGCGTACCGCCGCAACCTCTCTAATAAACATTTCCTTCGAAGCGGAAGCAGGAACATTAAAATCCACGTGGACGGCCCCACTCAAGACACAATGTCTGAGATTTACCGTGCCGTTCCCGGCGCTTCTGGAAAGCTTGCCTCCACTTAATGCTCCGTTTAATACCATGGACCGCAGCGTACGCCACGAGCCATCCAAACCAATCCAGCGTCGTGATAACGTGTCACCTGTCAAGACGCCCCGGGCGTCGCTACGCCTTCCCTGAAAGTCACGTGACATACAGACGGTACGGGATTGGCTTCGCCGGCTCGTAGCGGCCTGTGCGGTCCATCGCACGGTAAAACGGAGCCTAACATCCGAGCGCTTCGATCGGGCAGATCGAGCCATCATCGAGTTTCTTTCCGCGGAGCTCTCTTCATGCCGCCAACACCTGGGCGTTGCCAGCATTTTCATTTTATTTTTACTTCCCGTACAAGTCGTTCTAACGAGAAGAGAGGGAGATCCATTTGGAGTTCTTCTTTCGCCCTCTTATGTATTCGTTTTATTTAGGTTTTGTTCGTTTTTTTTTTTTCTTTCTGACTGCCAACTTTCATTCATATTCAAGTGCAGTCTCGAGCGCCCTCACTAACGAGACTCGGCAAATGACGTCGGTGCGCAGGTGATCTTATCAACGACGGTTTGGCTGGCGGTGATGTGAGGCGAATATGTAGGCAACCCGTGTCGTCAAGGTGGTGCACGCGAATGGATTTCGTTCTACCTTTGTCCTAAAAATGTATGAACGCGACCACCCCTAGCAAGATTATAGGATGACTTCTTTTTTTCAAATATTTTGAGCAAACCGAAAAAGAAAAGGTACATGTACCATCTACGGGTGTCTTTCCAGACAAAATGAAGCATGCACGTGTGACGGTTATACACAAAGGTGGCCCAGTTAGTGACTTAAACAACTATAGACCTATTTCTGTACTTTCAGTTTTTGCAAAGATAGCCGAACATATTATAAATAAAAGACTTGTTAAGTTTTTGACCTTCAATAACATTTTAGTAAAAGAACAATTTGGTTTTCAGAAAAATAAATCGCCAGAAGTTGCACTTCTTGGAATAAAAGAACAAATTCTCGAGAACATAGAACAAAAAATATACACGCTTGGTATATTTCTAGATCTTAAGAAGGCTTTTGATTGCGTTCAGCATGAAATACTTTTACAGAAACTTCCATTTTGCGGAATACGCGGTATTTCCTTATCACTGATTAAAAGTTACCTCACTACAAGAACGCAATATACAGTAGTAAATGGAGTAAAGTCAGACGTTCAGTACATAAAGTATGGGGTTCCTCAGGGGTCTATTCTTGGTCCTATATTATTTTTGTTATATATTAATGACATTGTAAACATACATGGCAGTTCAAATATAGTCCTATATGCAGATGACACAAATATTTTCTTTTCTGGCTCGGACATCGACGACCTCTTTGGAAAGGCAAAACAGTGGTTGCGGGGATTAGACTTATGGCTTAGATCTAATAAACTTTATTTAAACATAGAAAAAACAAAGTACTTACTGTTTAGACCAAAAGGAACAATACCACCTTCTAATTTGCAATTAAAATTCCAGGACTCTTATATTCAACCATCTTCAACCATTCGATTCTTGGGGGTTTTATTCCATGAAAATCTATCATGGACGCCACATATTGATTCTTTGAGAACAAGTCTTTGTCGAGCTGTTGGTGTCTTAAATAGATTAAGATATTATCTTCCAACAAAAGTGAAACGTCAAATTTATTTCGCTCTTGTGCAATCCCGCATAAGTTACTGCCTTTTAGTGTGGTCAACGACATCCCAAACAAATCTAGACAATATTGTATCCATACAAAAGCGAGCATTGCGAGCAATCGGTAACATACAACTTCTTAAAAGTGCCACACCATATTTTAGGACATATCAAATACTCAACGTAAGAAATCTACATCAATATAAACTATCACTTGAAATTTGGCGGCAATTTCAGCTCGATAAATTGGTGTTCTATGCTAAGTACCACGCGAAAGATAGCCCGTATAATTTAAGGCGCCATTTATTAATAAAATCGCGTTCGCGAACGAATTATGGAGACCAGAGCTTGAGTTTTTTGATTCCAGACTATTTAAACCAATACCCATATATTTTAGCTTCATTGGAGTGCGTACGATCACTCTATCAATATAAAAATATTGTAAAAGAATACTTACTCACAGGGGAATAAAACCGTATGTGTTTTAAGCAAAATGCTTGGAATGATAAGTAGCAATTGTCCTTTTCACGTCATGTTTTGTGATGTATTTGTTTTGTTTTGTATAGATTTTTAGTTTGGAGTGAAATTGTGTCATTCCTCATTTGTTTTTGCTACCGTTGCTGCCAAAAGGGTGGCATGGCCCCGTCAGGCATTTATGCCTTTTGCCATGTCACCTAGGACATCTCTGTACAGTTATGTCTTAAATAAAAAGTTATCAATCAATCATGTGTCTGGTAGAGGCAAGAATCGCGTTTTTCTCACCGCAAGAATGAACTACGCCTCGCCCAACGCTCACTCTCCGTCCAAATGTAGTGCTAAGAGTCCGGATCAAATGTCTAGGTTTCCAAACTTATCGTTATCTAGTTCAAGAGTCATAAGTAGGGTTCCGTGTTTTCGGTATATATCGATTAACATAAACAAAATTACTCCCCTAGACGCTTTTCACTGAAGCAGTGAAAACGTCCAAAAAAAAAAAAAACCTCCCAAATTTGAGCTGTCCTTGAAGAGAAAAACGAACAAAAATGCCAGCTTCAGGAAAAGAAATCTTCCCTACTTTATTTTGTTTCATTGACCGGGAACACAACCGCAATGAACTGGCCTTGGGGTTGTTCCTTTTCACCAAAACCACATTCCATGCCCCGTTCCCTTCCCTTGGCTTCAGCAGCATTAATGAAAAAAGATATTATAATTTATAGATTATAAATTATATTTTCTTCAGCAATTATACAGTCGCTTTACAACACAAGCCCCATAAACACCGATTTTTTTCCGGCATTGAAATTAGACACCGAAAGTCACCGCTTCAAAGGGGGAAATAATCAAAAAAAAAAAAAAACAAATTTGAAAAAAAAAAGAAAAAACTACCGATAACACGAAACTCTAGTTTAAGCGATTTTTGGAAATTTTCAACGAAACCCGCAAAAACATATAGATGAATGGCGCACCGTAGTGGGAACGCGCCCCATTTTCTTATTGCAAA